GCAAAGGACAGCAATGATTTATTAAAAGACACACAAAAAAAGCAAAGTATGCATACCCCAAAGGCAGAGGGTGAACACCTCTCACCTCTCAGAGAAGTCAGTGCTTCACCCAGGGCCCAGTTTTTCTCTATAGGACTTTCCCGTAGCACAGCCAACAGAGCAGATTCACAGGCCAGCTTTTGTGAAAATCAAACCCCATGCTCATCATTTACTGTTGCGGTTCAGAATGTTTCTTCTTGGCTCAGCAGTCTGGCCATCAATCATTATAGGTCTTCGAATCTGATGGAATTTAAATCCATTATGTTTTCATTCTAGTTGATCAGGCCTAAGCATATGCTTGAGATTTTCTTCATCTAACTAAAGAGACAAGCATGGCTAGTTAGGCTCATCGATCCGGGGCTCCTTCTAGTAAGGGTTTCTTTCTTCCCCTGAGAACCCTTCTATCACATTCCCCATCTCCAACGTGGATCACTTGATCCCTTGGGTCCCTTCCAGAAGGGGGAAGATCCATCTTCTATAGCTTCTTTAAGCTGGAGGAGGCCTTTATTTTCTACCTAACTGGGGGGTCAAAGGTCTCTCTGCCTGTCTGTTGTAGTGGGGACAAGGAGAGAGACCATGGTTTAGCAGAGGAGACAGACTGGAATCCACCAGAGTGTGCATCGTCTTTAAGTGAAGTTGAGCCATCCTATAAGATGTGAAATTTACAAGTAGGTTAAAAACACAAGGACCAAATAGAACATAATACAGTGCCTTTCACTAACAAGAGCGCTGTGAGGCTAGGAAGCGAGACTTAAGATCTTATCAAGAGATCTTATCTTGAGCAGCTCTTTTTCCACTTGAATAAGATTCAGAGATCTTCTAGTGGCTCACAAGTTAAGGAGACATCTTCTGAAGGGGTCTGAAGGGCTATTTTCAGATAAAGGCAAATCCTGTAGAGTCTCAAGAGGACGGGGTTTAATTCCGAAAAGTAAATCCATTAAGTGTGTCCCTGTAATTTAACTGCTATGAGGGTGCTTGAAAGAACCCGAAAAGGGTCCTTTTATTTAGGAAGGAGATGATCCAGTGAGGAATCTTTTTTTAGAATCAGAAAATCTTGAGTGAAAATTAAGCTTTTAAATTTTTAAGTTAAGCATTTTGTAAAATCATTTGACCCTTGGGGTTTCATCAACATCAGCCACAACACAAGTTTGATGAGAAAGAAGTCCAGAGGTTTGAGAAAAGCAGAGAATTGAGCCCTTACATCCAAAAGGAAGTTAATATCTATCTGCCACGTCAAGAGTCACCCAAGGCTCTTCTGAAATGATTGCCAGCTAATCAAAGGCGGCTTTGAGAGACCTCAGGCATCCCAGTCCCCCAGGGCAGCCATATTGGGAGCAGATGGCCTCCCCTCCCTTCAGTGGTGAGGGCAATTTCCCTCTTTATAGAGGGGACATAACTCAGGGATAGTGGACCTCACTTGGGGAAGTTCTGGCTAAAATGCCCAAGCTCTTTTGCAGCTGCTAGGTCTTGAGCTATTTCTCTTTCTTTTACATGGAGTTTTTGGGCATGTAGGGGGCAGCCTGTTGCCCAGTGCTAAGGCCAGTAATTGGGTTTGTTCTCTTGCCTGTCCCTTTCAAGACTTCATGATCTCTTTTATTCTTTCCCTTGTTATTGAAAACCCCAAAGGCCAAATTTAGAAGTTGGTTGATAGGGTTCTGAGGGTCCTTAGTGTGTGTTTGATTTTTTTTCCCCCATCATCTGGAGCAGATTGACTAATAAAGTAAGTCCTCAGGAGAACCTGTTCCTCGTGAGAATCTGGGTCGATATTGGTGTACTTCTTGAAAGTCTTAGCAAGCCTATTTAAGAGCAAGGCAGGATTCTTACCCTTTTCCAGGGTAACTTCCTGGATTTTATCACAATTTATTGGTTTACTCATAAGCTTTCTCGTGCCTTCTATTAAACAAGGGATCATATGGTGGTGTCTTTTAAGATCTGTGCTTTGGATCTGATACTGCTGATTATTAATATGTAACCCAAAGGTAAATTTACAGGGATAGATGTTGAATTAACCATATCTTAACAAGATGGAGCATTTTTTTTAATACTTAAAATCTGCTGGTATAAATATAAAGGAAAAGAGAAACAAAGAAAAGGCTCCAGTATACTTAAAACACTTTGAAGTCCCTGCCCCCAGATTAGGCCATGTTAGTGTGTCTGCTGTTGCCACCTGCTTGAGTAGAGGGCACCCTGTCTCCTGAGGGAATCCTAAAGACCCATGAGCACACAGGAAATGCTGATTCCTTACCAAGAGCACACAGGGAGAGCTGCCTTGCTTTATAATAACTGTGAGGCAAAGATAGATAGCACAGCAATTGAGTCTTTAGAGTTTTTATAAAGGTAACTAATTTCCCTAAAAATAGAAATGAGTGGGCTGGGGATGTGGCTCTGTGGTGGAGCACTTGCCTAGCATGAGTGGAGCTCTGGGTTCAACCCCCACCCCCAACAATACCATACACACACACACACAAAAAAAAAAAAAAGAAGGAGAGAAAAAAAGAATAGAAATGAAATAGAAACCTTGTAAATAATTTTTTCAGAGGATGTGGGTGTGATGAATAAAACAAAATACATCTTAGAAGAGCCATTGCTGATTTAAGAGGAAGAACAGTGACTCAGTCAATTAAATGATGCTAATAAGAATACTCTTTCCCAGAAATATCCAACACTAGGCCAAGGGGCCTTTCCCCTTTAGGGCTTTATCTGTAAGGACTGAAAGTCTTCACAGCTTCATATCCCAGGTGCTGTTCCAAGAGAAAAGTGCGGAGACGGATCTGGGTGTGTGAGGAAAGTGAAAAGCTGAGGAGGAGTCTCCATGAAGAAAGTTAAGATTCATTGCAGAGACGTAGAAGGAGGGGTCAATATGAGTTCACCCTGCAAACAGAAGGAAGGGGAGGAAGGAAAAGGCAACAGGTCAAAAACAACTCTTCCATGTTACACGGGAAAGAATGTCAAAGAAAATGAGCCAGAGGAGAAGCCATTGTGTGCTTGGAATGCAAAATGTGCAGCTTTATAGAGTCAGCTTTTCTGCCAAGTTGGGCCAGAATCTGCTCTGACAGGGCCTCAGGGATATTATTCTGTCTATGGAAACAAGGAAAATGGCTTAGAAATCAGTGGATCGGGCCTTATCATTGCTGTCCTTCCTGTCCCCCACAGCTTCCTTAGTCCCCTCTGACCCAGGGATGGGACATGTCCTGAATAGTTCCCTGTGTGGCTGATGCATACCCTTGGAGTATTCCCCTGACACCTCTGTCCAATTTGGTTTTGTCCCATGTTTTTATTGGTGCATCACAGCTGTACATAACGGTGGGATTCCTTGTTACACACTCCTGTGTGCACACAATATAACAATATGATTTGGCCAATATCACTCCCCAGTATTTCCCTGAGACCTCCCCTCCTCCTCCTCTTGGTCCCTTTCCTCTACTATCTACCTTTGATTTTCATGCAATTCCACCCCACCTTTGTTTCCCTTTTTCTTCTTAGATCCCTCGTGAGAGGAAACATACAACCCTTGATTTTCTAAATTTGGCTTATTTTGCTTAACTGAATGTTTTCGAATTTCATTCATTTTTCTGCAAGTAACATAACTTGATTCTTTATTGCTGAATAAAACTCCATTGTGTATATATCTCACACTTTCTTTATCCATTTATCTATTGATAGACGCCTAGACTGCTTCCACAGTTTGGCTACTGTAAATTCTGCTGCTACAAACATGAATGTGCATGTGTCATTACAGTATATTGACTTCAATGTTTTAGAATAATTACCAAGGAGTGATAGAGCTGAGTCATATGGTGGTTTTAGGACTAATATTTTGAGGAATTTCATAGTGATTGCACTAGTTTATAATCCAACATCAGTGTATAGGTGTTCCTTTCTCCCCATATCCTCTTCAGCATTTATTATTGTTTTTATTCTCCATTGCTGCCATTCTAACTGGAGTGAGATGAAATCTCAGTGTAGTTGTGATTTGCATTTCCCTAATTACTAAAGATGTTGATATTTTTTTCACATATTTGTTAGCTGTTTGTGTTTCTTTTTTCGAGAAGTGTCTTGTTTGTTCATTTGTACATTATTACCTGGGTTATTTCTCTTTTTCTGGGTTATAAGTTTTTTGAGTTCTTTATATATGCTGTATATTGATCCTGTGTCAGAAGAGTATCAAGAAAAGATTTTCTCCAGTCTTCAGGTTCTCTCTTCATATTCTTGTTTTTTTTTTTACTGTGCAGAAGTTTTTAATTTGATGCCATCTCATATATTAACTCTTGGCATATTTACTGAACTGCAAAGGGCCTTTTGAGAAAATCACTTTCTGAACCTATATGATGGAGTATTAACCTTATATTTTCTTCTAAGAGTTGAATAGTTTCTGGTATAATTCTAGGTCTTCCTTGATCCGTGTTGCGTTCACTTTGTGCAGGGTGAGATATAAGGATCTAGTCCCATTCTTCTGCATATGGATAACCAATTTTCTCAGCACCATTTGTCAAAAAACTCTTTGCTCCAGTGTGTTTTTTGGCCCCTTTACTAATTGTGGCCATTTGACAGTATTAATTCTCCCTATCCATGAACATGGGAAAACTATTTTCCATCATCTTGTGCCTTCTTCAATTTATTTTTTAAATGTTCTATTGTTTTCACTGTAGAGGACTTTCACCTCCTTGATTAGATTTATTCCTAGGATTTTTTTGTTTTGTTTTGTTTTACGGCTACAGTGAATGGAATTTGTTTTCCTGATTTCTTTATCAGTATATTTGTTGTTAATACATACGAAGGCTATTGATTTTTATATATTGATTCTATAACCTGCTACTTTGCTGAATTTGCTTATTAGCTCTATCAGTCTTTTGGTGGACTTTTTTGTGTCTTATAAGTATGAAATTATATCATTTGCAGACGGTGATAATTTGACTTCTTTTCCTATTTTTATCCTTTTTATTTCCTTCTCTTACCTAAAGGATCTGGTTAGAAATTCTAGTACGACACTTAATAGGAGGGGTGGATTTTAAAGGTAATGTTTTCAGTTTTTCTCCATTCACTATAGTGTTGGCTTTTTTAAAGATAGCCTTTATTATGTTGAAATAGGTTCCTTCTATTTCTAGTTTCTTTAATACTTTTATAATGAATTGGTGCTGAATTTTGTCAAAGACCTTCTCTACATCTATTGAGATGACTATGTGATTTTTATCCTTAATTATAAATTTTGTGATGAATTACATGTATTAATTTGTGTATGGTAAACCATCCTTGTACCCCTGAGATAAAACCAACTTGGCTATGATGTGTGATCTTCTACTATGTGGTTGAACAAGATTTTCTAATATGTATTAAGGATTTTTAAATCAAAGTTCATCAGGGATATTGGTCTGTAGTTATTTTCCTTGATCTAGCCTTATCTGATTTTGGTATAAGGGTGATATAGCTTCATAAAATTAATGTGGAAGTGTTCCTTTCTATTTCATGGAATAATTTGAGGAGCATTGGCATTAGTTCTTATTTAAAGGTCTTGTAGAATTCATCTGAGAATCTGTCTGGTCTTAGGCTTTTCTTTGTTGGAAGGCTTTTTATTACTGATTTTATCTCAGTGATAGTTATTGGTCTGTTTAGGTTTTCTATATTCTCTTGATTCAGTTTTGGCAGAGCTTATGTTTCTAGAAACATATAAATTTATTCTACATTTTTCCAATTTATTGCAGTATAAATTTTCAAAATAGTCCCTAAAGTTTCTTTGGATTTCTGTTATGTCTGGAATTCTCCTTTTTGTTTGATTAGTTTGGATGAGGACTTATAAATCTTGTTTATCTTTTCAAAGAACCAACTCTTCATTGCATTGATCCTTTGTCTTGTTTCTTTATCCTCAATTTTATTGATTTGGGCTCTGATCTTAATTATTTCCTTCCTTCTATTGGTTTTTGAATTGGTTTGTTCTTGTTTTTCAGAGGCCTTCAGATGCATCATTAGATTGTTCTTTTGGGATCTCTCTGGTTTTCTTATATAGGCATTCATAGGTAAAAACTTTCCTTTTAGAATCACCTTTGTATTTTCCCAGAGAGTCTGGTATGTTGTAACATTATTCTTGCTTAATTTAAAAAATTTTAAAATTTCTCTCCTAATTTCTTCTATCACCCATTCATTCAAAATTGTATTGTTCAATCTCCAAGTGTTTTTATAGTTTCTGTAAGGTATTCTTGGTGTTCATTTCTACTTTCATTCCATTATGATCAGATAAGATGCAAGGAATTACATAAAACCTTTTTGTATTTGCTAAGATTTGCTTTGTAATCTAAAATATGGTCTATTTTGGAGAAATTTCCATGAGCTGTGAGAAGTATATATAGCTGTTGTTAGATGAAATATTACATAGATGTGTGTTAAGTTCATTTGATTAATAAATATTTTGGCGAATCCAGAGAATCTTTACTGTGTTTATGTCTGGATGACCTGTCTAATGGTGACAGAGATGTGTTGAAATCACCCAGTATCAGGATAATGGGGTCTACCTTTGAGTAATTTGAGTAATATCTGTTTTATGTAATTAGGTGCACCAACATTTGGGGCACAAATGTTTACTCTCATTATAACATTTTCTTGGATTATTCCCTTTACCTTTGTCATTTCTGATTTTGGCTTGAAGTTTGCATTGTCAGATATGAGAGTAGCTAATCCTGCTTATTTTTAGGCTCCATTTTCATGGTACATCAATTTTCATCCTTTCATTTCCAGCCTTTGGCTCTCTTTGCCTATAAGCTGAGTCTCTTGAAAACAACATATAGTTGGTCCTTGCTTTTTTAATCCATTATGTAAGCCTACGTCTTTTAATTGGAGAGTTAAGACCATTTGCATACAATGTTATTCTTCCTGGTGTTTTTATTTATTTCTAATGTTTAATTTGATCCTATTGCTCGTTGTCAACAATAGGGTTTGTTGTTGATTCTTCTCTGTGAAGTGTTTCTTTAAGTGTTTTCTGTAGTGCTGGCTTAATAGTCATGAATTCTTTTAGTTTTTGCTTAACTTGGAAAGTTTTTATTTCATTTTTGATTCTGAAGGATAGCTTTGCTGGATGTAGCAATGCTTGTTGACAGTTATTTTCTTTGAGGCCTTGGAATATATCATTCTAAGCCTATCTGTATTTTAGAGTTTGTGCTGAGAAATCAGAAGTAATCAAACGTGACCTGATGGTTTTTCTCTAGAATTTTATCCTTATTTTTTATCTTGGGCATTTTAATTATAATGTGTTGTGGAGAGGTTCCTTTTTGATCTTGTCTATTTTGAGTTCTTAATGCCTCCTAGATTGGGATGTCCACCTCATTCTCAAGATTTGGAAATTTTTCTTTCTTATTTCCATGAACAGGTTATCCATGGTATTAGCCTATATCTCACAACACTCTTCAATTCTGGTGATTCTTAAATTTGTTCTCTTGATGTTATCTAAGAGTTCTTGTATATTTTGGTTATGGTTACTTATTTTCTTCTTTTTAATACTGTTTATATGTTCAAGGATGCCCACTTTCTGTTTAATCCTTTTCAATATCTCTAGTTACTTATTGAATTTCTCTTTCATATCCTGTAATGACTTCCCTAATTCATTCAATCATTTGTGTCTGTGTGTGCTCTATTCATTAATCATTTTTGTAACCATTGTAATTATTTTAAATTATTTGATATTTTATCCATTTCAATATCTGGAGTCAGTTGCTAGTGAATTATGAACTTTAGGAGACATTTTATTACCTTGTATTTTTCATATTTCTTGTCTTCTTGTGTTGGGTTTTGTATATCTGATGGGATGCACTTCTCTTCCACACTCCTGTGTGGACCTTTATAGGGCACAGCCTCCTCTTGTCTTAGAGTGATCTAGATTTAGACCTCTCATAGGTGTGGTATCCACACCTTTTGTGTCAATTCTCTCTGTTTTTGCTACAGGAGTAGATATCCATGAGTGGAACCTGAGACCTCCTGCCATGTAGACATTTCTATTTAGAGTCTGGTTCTTAGTTTTAGGTTTTTGCCTCTTCTATTTTTTGTATTTAAGTATTGCAGAAATTTGATTGTGATTAATTTGTACGTGGATTAAGGTGAACTCTCTCTTGACTGGGTTTAGTTCAGCAGCAGTCTATACCCTGTGAATTTGTAGTGTTCCTGTAAATTCTCAGCACATCACAGACAAGGGGAAACAAACAATAGAAATACCCAAATCAAACAATATACAGCATTAAAATAAATACCTGGTGCCTATAATGACATCTACAACACTAATTTTTACAAAAATAGAAAATAGTGGGAAGCAATTGCCAACAGCAAAAATAACAAAAAGCTGTGAATTAGATTTGATATTAAAGAAAACAATAAGTGTCAACTATGCCATACACATTATCAACAACTGCAAATAAAAATGATAGAGCAGGAGTTATAAAACCCAAATAGTTCTAAAAGGTGGTAAAAATTCAGTTCATTAAGAAAAAATAAAAGATGATAGAAACATAAAAGAAAGTTTACACTATTCAGAATGTAAACAGAGCATGCAAAAGAGATGTGGCAAGTGGTGAATATAAAAGAGGAAAGATAGAGAAAAGTTGAAGATAGAGAGCAAGAGAATTTGGCAGGAGAGAAAGAGAAACAAAAGAAACAAGCAAATAAAGTCAAACTAAAATAAACAACCCCCCACTAACCCTCAAAAGACAAGGAAAAGTAGATATCATAAAAAATGCTAAAGGGCTGGGGCTATAGTTCAGCAGTAGAGTGCTTGCCTAGCATGTGTGAGGCACTGAGTAGATCCTCAGCACCACATAAAAATAAACAAATAAAATAAAGGCATTCTGTCCATCTACAACTATAATTTTTTTAAATGCTAAAAATGAGAAAAAGAAAAAATATGTATTTGTGTATATATATATATATATATATAAAATCTCCATAAATCAATCAGCACAGTAAGAATACACCATCACTACCACCACACACTGCCCCCTGCAAAAAAAAAAAAAAGGGAAAAAAGATTCTCGAGGGAAAAAAAAAGGGGGTCTTTACTAAAGTGGTGAAAACTGTCAATGAGGATGGGTAGCCACTCCTTCTGCCCGACTATCATTTCCATTTTCTCTCGGACTTTCTGAGAAGCTATACTCCTGCTTTCTTGAATCCTGAGCCATGGAGCAACTGGAAATTCAGTCTTCCTCGAATCTGCCATCTTGAATCCTCCAGAGCGTGTCCCAGTTTATTTTTGGTCAAAGGGAACTGAGGTTTTCAGAGAATGCCATGCAATCAAAAGGCAAAAGCTAAAAGGAAAGGAAAGCCAGTCTCTTCATGTCACTAAAGGAATGACACCAGACAGGGATCCAAAGAAGTCCCTCCTAGGGAGCAGGGGAATCTCAGCTTGGGCTGAGTGGGTTATTGATCTCCATCATTGTCAAAAACAAGGCACAAGCAGATATTTATTAAAAGACAGCGAAACAAAGGTATACATGCCCCCGAGATAGGATGCAGATACCCCTTGCTTCTCAGAAAAGAGAAGACAGTATTGCACCCTGGGCTGAGCTCTCTTGCTATATATAGGACTTTCCCTATATAAAGGAAGAAAAGTGTAGGTTCACAGGCAAACTTTTGTTATGAACGTCAAATCCCATGTTCATCATTTGATATTTGCGGTTCAGAATGTTTCTTCCTGGTTAAGTAGCGTAGCCATAAATCAGTGTAGGTCTTTGAAGCTGGTCACATTTAAATCGATGATGTTTTCTTTCTGATTGATCGGATACAAGCATATGCTGTAGGCTTTCTTCAACTAAAGAGACAAGCATGGCTGATCATGCTCATAGATTGGGTCTTCTTCTACTAAGGACCTCTTTCTCTCTCTCCCTGGGAGTCCACCTACCTCAGTAAGTATAAATGCTCAATAATAGTAGTAAAATTAGCCAACTATAGTGGCATGCATTTGTAATCCCAGCAACTTGGGCTGAGGCAAGAGGAATGCAAATTTGAGGCCAGCTTCAGCAACCTACAAGACCCTGTCTCAAAATAAAGAATAAAAGAAGGGCTGGGGAGACACGGAGCTGGGAAAAAGAAGGCAGAAAAGAGGTGTGAGCAGAGCCAGAGCTAGAGCCAGAGCCAGGCGAAAAGGCTGAGCACAGAGCCACGGGGTAGGCCATGCAGCGTGGGCCCAGCAAGCCCACTCATGACCCATGCCAGTAGGGACAGGCAGTGAGTAACTCCTCCCCTGCAGCCCTGACAAACTCTAATCTGGCCTGCTAGTCAGGGGCCTGAGAGCAGATCCCAAATCAGGCTTTGCTCAGCCTCTGACAAGGGCTAGACCTTAGGAAGGCGCCTTCAACAGCAGGACCAGGTGGGCCATAATGCCTAAAAACTTCACAATCATTCCTGCAGCCAAACCCAAGTGGGCCAAGGCCTCCGAGAAATGCACAGACTACCCCAAGTGTTCAGATATAACTGTGGCTGCTGTTCAGGCCAAGAAGAACCACTCTGGTTCCTGGCACCCATCTACCCATACAGAGGTATATCAAGAGCCACGACAAGGTGGGTGAGAATGCCAACTCCCAGATCAAGTTGTGCATCCAGCACCTGGTGCCTCCAGTGTCCTTAAGCAAACCAAAGAGATGGGTACCTCAGGGTCCTTCCATCTGGCCAAGAGCGAAGACCCTGGGATGTCAGTAGCCTTCAGGAAGACCAAGAAGGTGGCCACACCAAAGAAGGCATTCAGACCCCAAGGAAGAAGCCCAAAGCCACCTCAGTCATGAAGGCCAAGAGGAAGCCAGCTGCCACACCAAGAAACCCCAAACCCAAGATTGTCAAAGCCATGCCAGTCAGGGTATCCTATAAGGACTTTGTGTTGCTGTTCCCTCTGTACCAGAAGGCCAAACCAATGAAGCCCAAAGCCAAGTCTGGTGCCATTAAGGGCCAGCCAAGACAAGAGTACCAAGAGGAGACACTGTGGCCTTTCATTGTGGACACTCCTTCCTCCTCATGTTCTATAAACACTTTGCTCCTTTCTTTTCTCTCCATCCTTCGGCGACCCTTGGCCCCATTCTATCCTGATGTTTCCTAAGACAGCATTTGGATTCCTCAGAGACTGTGGAATGATTCCTTTTTCCTTAACCAGCTGAGCAAGGACAGCAACAACAGATCTCATCTGTGTGATAAGGAGGATGTGATGATATTTCGTTTTGTTGATTTACTGGTAATCTTCCCATGGGGCTAGGGGTTTGGGGGCTTTGTGTGTGATGTTGGGTGATTTGTTTGCTATGAGCATAGACATGGGGGAGGAGAGAACAGGAGAGGCAGTGTGTTCTGGCTAGAGGAGAGGCAGCCCAGGAACTGTAAGGGTTGTAGGCGTGTCCTTAAGTCAGGGGCCCCTTTTGAGAGTTTCAGAACCTTTGCTGGTGGGGAAGGGGAGGCAGCTGCTAGCAGCAAAAGAAGGAGGCAGGAAAACCCTTCTGGGCTGACCTCCCAAGGGGAGGAGTGGTGGTGGCCAGCGGGTGAAGGCCCAGTTTCCTTCTCACTTCCGTCAGTCTGCCCTGTGGCCTCTGTATTGTCTTATGGAAGGCGAGGAGGGCATCCACGTAACAGCTGGATGGGAGAAATTAAAGCTTCTCCTAGTTAGCTAGGAACTAGCTATTGGGGTGTCTTTGTGACAGAGTCTCCCGTGATATGCAGGAAGGATGAGGAATTGGTCAGCCAGGTGCTCTGTGGAAACTTGAGTTTTTTCTACATAATCAATTAATTGTATCCTATAAGGACTTTTTGTTGCTGTTCCCTCTGTCCAAGACGTGGCTTTGCTTGGTCGGTGGGGCTCTATCCCCACCACGAGCCACATAAAACCCCCTGACCCCTCTTTACTTCTTTTTATGAGTAGTGGTAGATGGGGAGGGGGAAGGGCAGGGAGAAGACAGTAAGACATACTGCAGGAAATTTTGAATTTGCTAAGTAGTTGGGAGCGCTAGGTCTGTGTGCTTCTCTGTATACAGACATATGCCTGTCTAGGGCCAGCGCTTAATGTTTCACACTGAGAGCTGGGAGAAAAACACAGTACAGATTTTCTCTTATTTTTAATGAAATAGGAACATCACACATTTGCACATCCCTCTGCTTTTTTAAAAACAAGCATTATTTGTGCCAGGAAAAAATTCACTGTTGTTATAATTTTAAAACTTTAAAAAAAAATTGGAGAAGGGGGGCAGAGGAAAGGCTGGGGATGCAGCTCCATGGAAAACGCCCTAAGTTTAATCACTACCTCAAAAAAATTGGAAGTCTTTCATGGTTATATAATGAAAGACAGAGTGAGTGGTGCCATAAATAATGGGACCAAGCTCCTGCTACTAAACATTTTATTTATTCCTAATTCTCCCCTATCTCAGATATATCTAAAATTAATATATTAGTGTACATGGTTTTTTTTTTTCTTCCTTCTTTTAGATGATTTCTTAGGAAATGGGAAGCCAGTCTTAAACATAGCTGCTTGGGGAGGGGGGGTGAGACACACTCCCCCCCACACTAGGGACGCTCCCTTATGCTTCCCCCCAGGGAAGCTCTCTTTTCCCTTATGCCACCAAGTCTCCTCTCTCCTCTCCCCCTCTGACTCTGAGGCAGGTGTAAGAAGGGTCAGCGTCCTCTCAGCAGGCCACCCCTGAGAATGCATCTCCCCCCTTGCAGGCCACCTAGCACTACTAAGAGTTAAGTGACACGTGAAACAAATGTGCCGTGCCTCCTAGGCCCGTTTCCATTTGGACAGTGGCAGAGACCTTAAGCTGATGGAAACCAGGCTAATGGTGGCACAGGAAACAACAGAGAGCAAGCTGGGATGGCACGCATTCTTTCATGGAGGCATGGGGTGGGTGAGGGGAAGGACGGGGTGACTGTCAGCTCATGAATGCTTCTTCCAGTATCCTCTTAGGGCCCTGTCATCTCTGGCTTGAATGAGCCCTAGAGCTGTGCTCACAATCTTTTTCTCACGACGATACACACAGAAAACCGTAACATTTGTGTCACAACCCAGGAAACAGGAAGCAGCTTGAACACAGGTGCCCACGTGGGACCTCCAATTGCCCTGAGGCCTGAATGAACAATATCTCAGCGCCCTGGGCTCTTTCAGCTCCAAAGTGTGTCTGTGCCGGTCAACTTCCCATCCCTTCAGCCCTCTGACACCACTTCCCAAAGAGCTGTTTTCACCATGTGGCGCTCCGCCCAGATACCCTTGACCTTCCCATGTTTCCCAGCTGAACATTCAAGACCTTCAGATTCTGGGCATCTGCATTTCTAGTCCTCTCTCCTCTGCTCCAGCCAGCCACTCACAGGTGTCCCCCAGTTTCACGTTCGCTCCAGCCCCTTGTCCTTGCTCATGCTGTTCCCCCTTTGGAATATGCCTTCCTTTGACCTTCCTTCTGAACCTTGCCCCTCTCCCAAGACCTGACCCAGTCTATGCCCCTTCCCGGAAGCAGCTCTCTCAGCCACAGTCCTTCCCTGGACATCAGTAGTACTTTCCATGTGAGCCATCACTCAACCCAAGTCACCTTTTCATGTGTGCGTGACTTGTGTCCCCAGGCAGACTGAGGGGAGACAGGAGGAATGCACTGGAGCTCTGGAGCCCAAAGACTGTTCTGGGATTTATTTCCCCTTCTGTCAAAGTAAGGTCTAGTTCCTGGAGTGGTTGTGAGGCTCACAGGAGGCCAAGGGTGCACATTAACTTGTGTTGACCATGCACACAGAGGCCCAGCTCAAGCCACGGGCCATTTTTTCTCTCTACAGCATCCGTCACGAGGCAAGTCCTGGGCAACCATGGTTGGCTGAAGGTGTGAGTTCCTATACCTCTTGGTGTCCCGCCAAGCCCCAGGGTGCAGTAGTGGCCAGCATCCTGCCCTGTCCCCAACACAGGTGCTAGCCATTTGGTACCACTCTCTTCTGTCACCTGCAGACCACTTCCTGGAGCTGCACATGTACATGACTTCTGCACTAGGCAAGAATGACATGAAGGCCATTGGCCTGCAGATGGCCCTCGACCTCCTGGCCAAGAAGGAGAAGAAGGACTCTATTACAGGTCTCCAGACACGCACCCAGCCTGGGCGGCCCGACTGGAGCAAGGTAAAGGCTAGCTGGAACCCCACAGTGGGCAGGGGCCAGTGAGACTGAGAGTCTGAGGCAGCAGCAGGGAGATCAGGGTCAAGCAGCCAGGGGCAAAGCATGAAGTTCACATCCAAGTTCAGAGGAGGTGTCCAGGCAGGAGTGGTAGTCAGGGAACCCACATTCTGCTCCGTCACTCGCTCACTTTGTGCCTCCTTGTTTCCCCATCTGGTTAAGAGGAAGTTGGTCTACCTGCCCTCAATGGCCTCTCCAGCCTTGAGTCCCTATGAACCAAAGCCAGAAAGCCCAGGTGGTCAGGGTCCTGGGGAAACATTAAGTCTTATTCATCTCCTGTTGCAAATGGGGAAACTGAGGCCCATGGGCAAGAAGTGGTTTGTGATCTTTCCATTTTACTTCTCAGATTGGTTTTATTATTATTACTATTAAATGTTATATATTATTATTAATTATTATCAATTATATTATTATTAATTATTATTATTTTCTTGCCTGAAAAATTGGGGCACAGTCTTTGCAGGCAGTGGCCCACAGCACAGCTTTGAAAACTGCTGTAGATGCTCTGAGGCAGGGTCATGAGGGCTAAGGGACAGTACGTGGGAGTGGTACACAGATGTCAAAGGGGCCCTTCTTCAAAAGGCAATTTATAAACATAATTTGGGGTAAAAAAGGGTCCTTACCAGGGGGAAAATAAAAGATGGTGGAATGAGAGGGACATCATCGCCCTAGGTACATGTATGACTGCTCATAAGATGTGACACTACATCGTGTACAACCAGAGAAATGAAGAGTTCTGCTGCAATTGTGTACAATCAACTAAAATGCATTCTGCTGTCATATATACCTATATAACATATATATACCTATATAAATAAATACATTAACTCATTAATAATAATAAAAAAGAAAGCGGCATCCAGATCATAGCACATGGCCCAGGGGCTCCCGAGCAGCTGCACACAGCCTCTGGTTGCCAAAGCTGCATCAATTTGAGTGTATTTTTCCCACAGAAGGGGGTTCTCAAGTGGAGGGCCTTGGTTTTACTTATTTCTAGCCCTAACTCACTTCTGGGCCATGTTACAAGTTGAGCAAGTGATTGAGTGGCCGGGTGGTAGACTCCACTGTGAGCTCAGCAGCTGTGCCACCCATGTTCCTCAAGCTCCTGGGTCAAATGGGGCCACTCCTTGCTGCCTCCAGGTAGGGGCAGCACTGGTCTCTGATCCCAGCCCCACCTCTCCTTCTGCTCTCTCCAACCCTCTGACTCCAGGTGTTCCAGAAAGTGGCTGCTGCAAAGAAGGGCAAGGTGCAGGTCTTCTTCTGTGGCTCCCCAGCTCTGGCCAAGGTGCTGAAGGGCCACTGTGAGCAGTTTGGCTTCAAGTTCTTCCAAGAGAACTTCTAGCTGCCGCTCTCTGTGAGGCTGTGCCCCAAATCCACTCCATCACTGGCTTTGTCATAGGGGTATAAGTGCCCCTGTGTGGACCAGCCTCAGACCACCCACCCAGCAGGACAAAGCCCCGGGACCACTGAATCCTGATTAACACAAAGCAGGGGGGCCCCAAGGGGCAGACCACAGAACCCATCTGCTGTGCATTCTGGGATTGCATGAGGCTGAGGAGATGAGGCTGGAGGCTGGGGTCATGAGGAGGCAGGAGGGGACCTCAGGACAGCTGCTCCTCCAAAAGTCCTCTGAGGGAGACTTCTGCCTCCCATAGTGATCCCCAGCCTACCTACTCAGCCACAACATCTCATTATGCAATTTTCAAACATACAGAAAGTTGAAAGGATCGTGCAGTGCACTGTGCGACCCACCTTCTGACTCCTTGGTTACCATTTTGCTGTGTTTGCTTTGTCATGTATGACCTGTCAGTCCCTCCCTCTACCCACCCACCAATGTGTCTCCTTCTTCTGATGTATTTCACAGTAAGGTACAGATATCGACATATTTTGCCACTCAGAGAAACTTAAAATGTAGATTCCTTGGTCCCACACCCAGAAGTTCTAATCTCAAAGGTCTGGGAATGAAACCTGGAGCATGTATCTTCCTAGAATCCAGTCCCACGGGGAGAGTGGGAGGGTATATTTCCCCACCTCTCTGAATCTTTGCCTTCCCCCCTCGTTCCCTCCCCCTTCCTCTCTCTCCTGGCATGTGCCACAGTGTCCCTCCTTGCCGCACACTCTGGCCCTTCTCTTCTCTCTGACCACTGACCATTAGAGAGGGAAGATGGAGACACCCTCCTGTGTGCCTCTGTGGGATCATGAAACAGATGGGGACACAGAGCGCTCAGCTCAGCCACCCCAGCTGTGCGGCCATGGCAACCTCTCCATGTCTGTGTCTTCCTCCATGAAATGAGCTGATGACATGTGCAGGTGACAGCTGTGACGGTGAAGGTGGACTGGGAGTGAGCCTGGCGGGAGACCTTTGCTGGGGCCTTTCCACCAGGTCATGCTGCGTTACCTGCAAGCCTGGGCGGGCACTTGACCGACGGACCAATCTCAGACCTCGGCTTTGCCATCCTGAGGCCACACACGGTTTGAACCCATTTCCTTCTGTGAAGTCTGCTCTGGCCCTCTGCACTGGGCCTGGGAAGGCTGAAAGGAAACCCTGTCACTATCTGGGACTCAGAAGTATTTGAAAGAGAGTGGCCCAGCTTGAGACTGGAGCATGTAGAGGATGTACCAAAGTCATTTGAAGTCTTGGCAGCATCACTTTAACACAGAATTACACACACACACACACACACACACACACACACACACACACACACACACCACTGTTTTATATTTTGTCCTGTCTCAGAACACACTTGAGCTGCAGAACTCAGTCATTTTCTCTCTTAGAGCAGATTTCCACTTGGCACAAACACACATTTGCACACAGCCAGCTGTTTGAGTACTTTTTGGGGGGTAGTGGTGGGAGCAGGTGGAAGAACCTTAAACAAGATTGTAAATTCCCTTGGCCGAGTGATGATGTGCCTGTGTTCTGTATTCTTTCCAGCCAGACTCCAGTTGCCCACGAGGGGGCGCTGCAGAATCAGAGATCTCAGGAGGGTCTGTTGTGCAGGAAAGGGAGACTGGTTCCTGTGAGGAAATCAAAGGAAAGAGCAGGAAGGACCCCACCCCACTGCAAAGCTCCCCTCTCAGGACCACGCCTCTAGGCTCAGTCTCAGGCAGCACCGTGAAGTCAGTAGAGAGAGTTCATTTTCAAGATCAGTTTCTGTCGCTCCTGGCACCTCACTCTGTCCCTGCCTCCCCCACCACCCCCACCACCCCCCTCCACCTGCTCCCGCTGTTCAGTTCTGTGCTTTCCTCTTTTCTCCTCCCAACAGAGTGTCCACCTGCAAGGTTGAGTGGAGTTGAACAGGTCTGGCTTGGGGACAACTCATACATAGGTCCAGGCTCTGCCCTCAGTGAACATAGGAACTTAGGTGGCAAGTTCAAATATACCAGTGGCCAGCAGGCTGAGCGTGTCCACCTGGATGTTTCCCAGGTGACCAGAAGGGTGCCATCCCGGTGTCAACAAGAAACAAATGCATCCTTATAGCCAACTGACTTTTCTTCTTTCAGCCAGATGTCGGCAATGCTGAGACACATCTGGGCCCAAGATAGATAAGGCTGACACAGAGAGGAGGGAGGGAGCACCAGCTAACTGCAGGTAAAGGGAGGCATATGGAAGGGCACACCTGACCTCCTCCATCAGGCTGGGAGCTCCCGGAGGTCAGGCCTGTGGCCCCCAAATCAAGCACAAAGAGAGAATGAATGGGCCTGAAGTGGGTGTCAGTTCCCATCAGGGCAAGGGAGGGATGAGATGGAATTGTCTTCTGCATCTAATTGTCATTTGTAATTTGGGGAACAAAAGTGCACACACAAGCTGCCTGAATGTCTTTGCCAGCTGTTCTGCTGTGACCACACTCTGACAGCCAGGAAGGTTTTAGAGAAACAAATGATTAGCTGGACCTGCCCTGCCCGCCCAGCACAAGTGCAGTCTATTAATACACTGAGAGCCTGGGGCATTTGTGGGAGGGGAGGGGGACATGGGCCATATTGCAAAGTGTCACCAGCTTTGTAGACAAGGTCCAGAGTAGGGAGAGATTAGAGGCACCAGCTGAGGCTGGCTCTGGGCAAAACCTTTCATGTACGCAGTGAAAAAACCACTGCTTTCGGGAAGTCGGAACACGGCTTCTGCTTTTGCTAGTGCTGCGCGACCTTGGATATATCATTTGGCCTCTCTGAGCTCTCGTTTTTTTGTCTATGAAGTGACCACATTAAGGACACATGTGTTTAAATGCTTGTACATGCATAGGCATCCCTAAAAGGACACAAAAATACTTCTCTTTGCTCTGTGGGGTGGGAGTGGAGAGACAGGAAGGAAAGGACTTTTACTTTTGATTTTTGTTTTGTTTTACTTTTTACCCTTCTATGAAGTTTGAGGTTTTTATGATAAGGGTATGTTGTTTCAATTTTGAAAAGAAACCTCAAATAGAATGTCATGTAGAAGCAAAAAAAAAAAAAGTATCAAGAATTTGATCTGATCCTATGCATACAATGAAAAATAAATAATGTATATGCATCATGTGGGAATAAAAGAAATGCACGGAAAAGAGGGTTAGAAGGATGGAGCAGTCACTGTGGGAACTTTGGGGGAGTTTGTGAAGTCCCTTTACCTTGCTCATGTACTGGTGTATTACCTGTATAATGTTCCCAATGTATAAATTTTATACCAGACACTTCATGTACCACTCATGTGTTGTTATACTTTTTTTTTACTTATGTACTTATGAATGGGTTATGTCATTTTTTAGAAGAATAAAACAAAAGGCAGAGCTTGCCTGCAATGTCATCTATGACCCTCAGCATTAAATCTCAAGTGGAAGCATTTCAGGTATTTGCCAAGGGGAGGCCCCTCTGGTGGAGGGTCAGTCCCCTGGACACAGTGCCCCTATTCAATATGCAAAGCTGCCTGCTTTAAATGGTCTAAGTATTAAAACAAAAGACCCCATGAAGGCCTGAGGCTGCTTCAGAAGGACAGAAGAGGCCAGGGGCATTGAGGGGTAACTGTGCCAACCAGCCTCCCCACGGTCCAGACTCCTGGCGCTCTGCCTGCACTGAACAAGTACCAACGCCGAACAGCCTCCCTGACCATGGATTCTGCTTTTTATGATCTGTCTTCACAATATGATGACTCTCTCCTTTTAAAAATAAGATTACTTTTTAAAATACATTTATTTTATGAGGAAATCTATCCAAGGGGGACAAATACTTGAGATGAAGAGCAGAGATGACGGGAAGGGAACGTGATCTCGGGAAGTTCCCAGCCTCCCTACCTCCAGCCAGCAGGGACCCACCTGGGCTGCCCCGTCCTACCCAGGGACAAAGAGCACCATCCTTAAACATCCTAGTTGGTGAGCATAGCCTGCTAGACAAAGGAGAAGGAAGACCGAGAAGGAAGGAAGAAAGGAAGGAAAGAAGGAGGGAAGGAAGAAAGGATAAATATACCAGGGATAAATGGTACACTTCTGGGGGGAAAAAAAATCTCAGAATCACCCAACTGTGGCTGGATGATACAATTTAAACTTGTCTTTAAATATAACCCTGAAGAACATTCAAGAGAAGTGAATGACTTGTCTTTGTCCCAATGATTGGAACTGCAGCACCACCCACCAGGTGGTGAGTGTCATGAATGTCTCCACTGGGAAGATCCCCTGTTCAACTGGTAGCCCCAGGTGGTGACCTTGACTCCTGTCTTCTCCCGTATCCTCCTCCTCCTGCCAGTCATCAAGCCCCGTCAACATGACATGCTAAGTGCTTCTCAGACCTAGTCACTTCCCCATTGGTCCTACCTTGGCTTGCTCCTGCCTTAGTTTGGTCCTTAACTGGTTTTGGCTTGGAATATGGCTACAGCCTACTAGTTGGGCCCCCTGTCTCCAGCCCCTTGCAGCTCTAATCTGTCCTACACTGTTGTGGGTCTGATCACACATCTTCCTGTTGGTGGCTCACCTCCTGTAATCATCCAATTCCTGTGTCTGCCACACAAACCCTCCCCATTAAGCATTTGATCAAGATCTACTATTTTAATAACCTGTGTTATTACCTGGCCTTTGCCTGCCTCTCATGTCTTGCCAAAGCCCATCCTGCTCTTCCTGTTCTAAGTACCATCCCCAAGGGTCTCCCTCATTTCACACCTTCAAGCCTCTGTGTCTGCAGAACCTGACATGTGGAGCATCCTTACCTACCACCAGATGGAGATTTCACAACATCATTATCTGTAAAGACTTGCTTGCAGCCAGGTGCAGTGATGCACAGCTGCCTTACCTGTAATCCCAACAACCCAGGATGGGGGGTGGTACTGAGACAGGAGGATCACTAGTTCAAAGCCAGCCTCAGCAACGGCGAGGTGCAAAGAACTTAGTGAAACCCTGTCTCTGAATAAAATACAAAATAGGGCTGGGGATGTGGCTCAGTGGCCGAGTGCCCTTGAGTTCAATCTCTGATACCCTCCCTCAAAAACAAACAAACAAAAACACTGTTTGCCATCTCTCCCGTTGTCCAATAACCCACCTGCTCCCACAGTCCTGTGGTGGGAGTGGTATCGTGCTGACCTCTTAACTTGCCCGTGAACTCCCTGAGGGCAGGCATCTTATTCATCTTTGTCTCCCCAGTGCCTGGTGATCAACAAAAGTGTTGGTGAGCTAATGTGATTGCCTTGAACCTCCATCCCTTTCTGCCCCCACCTTCTCTGTGGCTCCACTTTTAGGGTGAGAGAGATTCCACTATCCCTGCACCAGGCAGGCCCAGAATTACAGGGTAGAGGAGGCAGCTGCCTTACCTGCCCCCCACCTCCCAGATGGCCCACACTTGCTTTCTTCACCAGAGGTGAGGTTTCATTTGCAAATCTGACTGGCACTCCACCTTAAAGTCCCCAGACAAGGAAGGCTAGTGATAGCTCTCTCCAGCTCCTACCCTGAAAAACAAGGGAGTGAGGCTGATGGTTCCCCACTTCCTCTGTGTCACCTCCTCCTCCTCCTCTTCCTTGTTCGGCTCTTTCTTCTTCTAACTCAAAGGAGCCCGATGACTTAGAAAGAGCAAATGAATAGGGAATAGGGAAAGCAAAAAGAGAGAGAAAAAAGACAGAGAGAGTGATTGTGCCAAGTTATTATTCAAAGGAGCTCTCTGGGACCAGGAGCAAGAGTAGTCCCATCAATCACCCAGCAGAGCTCTGAGGCAGGTGAGTGCTGTGGGTGTGGGATCTGTGGATAGCCATGCATGTGAGCAACCTGTCCAGGAGCCTGGGGCCCTCTGCCAACCACCACAGAGGAGGGAGGCCAGAGAGACTCCATAAGAGGACAGGAAGCCCAAAGGCTGGAGATAAGGCTCACTGACCTGCCTTTTTCCACCGGCTGGAGCCAAATGTAAGAAAGAGAGAGATGTGGTCTGAAGGGGCCTAGGGCTTGTTTGTTCCAAGGCTTTGTTGCCTGGACTCCCTCATCTGACCAGAGGGTGGCCCAAGATGCACTCAGGCCTGGATCCCAGGCCTCGGCCCAGCAAGTGCTTTTTAAACGATGAATGACAAAATTATTACAGCACATTGCTTTCTTCCTGTTTTTGTTTTTATTATGTCCTTTAAACCTTAGTTTATTGTAATTTTATGTGTAGACATGTCCCTGCTCATTAAATTGTAATTACAATCATCTTGGGGTGAGAACTAGATCTAATTTCTTTTCATTCACAAGCCCTTTGCAGAAGAGGCCCTTGCAAAATAAGCATGGAGCCAAGCAGGCCAGACAGAGGGGCAGAGTTTCGTCAGTGGCTTTGAGTGCCACATTTTATTTCCCCATGTGGGGGACTATGAACCGGGGTGTGTGTTCCTCGGTGTGAGTGTCTAGGTTTGGGGTGCAGGTGGGGACCTGGATGAGTGCAAACTACCTAGAATTGGGCACAGGGAAGGGTCAATAAATCCTGATCATCCTCTTGGCACTGGGGTGGGGGTTGGTTAGGTGGGGTCAAAGCCGTGCCTAGTCCCCCGCCTGTCCCAATCCTTGATCAATGTTAATTCAAGGATAATGGCGATTAAAGAATTTCCCAGGTGTTAGGACTTTTCTACCTCACCCCTTTTCAGCAGGGAGGGCCCCAGGGCACAGCGACAGCCCCCTCCAGGTGTCCAAGCACTGCTGATCCTGGCTGCCAGAGGCAGGAGGGGATCGGAGCAGCCCTCCAGTTGGTCGGCGTGGCCCTGTGAATTGGGGGGATAATGTGTATTCTTCTCTCCTGACTGCTACTGAAACCTCCTGCCTGTTTGTCACATCTGAGCCATGTTTCCAGGCCCTCTGGTTGCTGGCTCTCTTCCTCTTCTTCAGAAGAGAACAAGGAAAAGTACCTGAGGGATTTCAGCTCTGCTGATGAGGACAAGATAGTGATATGAGCAGGAAATGAGTTGGCTTTCGGGGCAGAAAGGAGAAGGCCTCAAAATCACCGGCTCCCCAGAGCCCACTGAGGCTGTCGAGGAAAACCCCTTCTCCATGCCGCCCTCCCGTTCCCCCCACAAACCTCTCTCAAATCAGGTGGGTTCGCCATGAGAGAGCCATTCATTCATCCAGGCTCCCCACAAACATAGGTGATGGGCCAAGCAGCACGGATGCCCCACGAGGCATAGAGCAAGGGAGAAACACGGGGGCCTGTGATGGTTCAGATGTAACCATCCTTCAAAAGCTCACCCGTGAGACAATGCAAAGTTTGGAGGAACAATGATTGGGTCACCCTAATCAGTTAATTAATCGAGTGGTGAGTGGGGCACGTGGGGTGTGGTTGGAGGAAGTGGCTCATGGGGGCCATGGCTATGGGATATATATTTTGTGTCTGGAAAGTGGAGTGTCTCTCTCCCAGTAGGCATCTGATCACCATGTGAATGGCTTCCTTCCACCACACTCCGCCATGATGTTCTGCCTCACCTCGAGCCCCAAGGAATGGAGCTGGCCTTCTATGGACTAAGACCCTGAAGCTGTGAGCCCCTGAATAAACTGTTCCTCCTCTACAGTTGTTCTGGCCGGGTCTTTCGATCACAGCAGGAGAGGAGCTGACTAACACAGGCCCATGGTGCCAACACTTGATGCAGATGCCAGCGCAGTGCCTCATGGGAAGGAAGCAGGAGTCAAGGGTGGGGCGGGGTCAGAGAATTGGGACTTTCCCACAGGGAAGCAGAGTGGGGGAGGCCAGGTTGTGCACACAGGCCCTGGCTTGTTCGAGGCACGGAGGCACATTGGGGCAGGGGCTGAAGCCAGGGGAGGAGACAGCTGGGAAGGGAATATGGCGTGGGCAGTTCTGACTCTAACCTGAAGCAATGGAGAAGCCACTTAGAGCTTTTCAAACAAGGGCATGTCTGGTCCCATCAGCTGTGGCAGGGAGGGAGATGCGCCTGGAGCTGGCCCCCACAGGGCTGCGCAGGTTCCCCAGGAGGGCTGTGGGCAGGAAAGGCAGGGAATGTGCCTGTTAGGGCTGTCTGGATGGTGCTTTTATTTGATACCCGTTCCCGCCAAATCCCTCTCCGCAGTCTCCTGGGCACAGATCG